AAGCCTTCCAGACTTTCTCTGAATCATGCTTAATGGTATATTAGATGTCTTATTTAGTAAATTATCTAAACATTGTTTAATACCTTCATTTAAAATGTAGTTAATATTATTAATTTCACTAATATAATCATTTATGTCACTATCACTGCATGTGTGCAAACCATCTCATAACTGGAAGGAAATGCTAGCATGTAAAATATTCTCCACCACACAAGGCTGAAGTTGTCATAATCTGGTAGGCTAAAGGTTGTTCAAGAACAATAAAAGATGTAAAATTTGATTTGTTGGTTCATTGTGTCCTCTACATTGCTCAGACAGAGCAAAGAGAACAGAGTCCAGCTGGAAATAGCCAGCAGAAAGTTCATCTTGTATCAAGAAACTCCCTACTGGCATTAAGACAGCACACCTTGCTTTGGGGCCAGTCACCCACTTTATTGTAGGGATAGGTCAATAGCAAAGCATTGCTAAGCTCTTGAGTATCTCTGACTGACCTCTTGTGCTGTGTGCGGCACCCACAGCACTGGGTCCAGCCTCCTTATGCCTCATGCAGCACACACCAGACTGGATTCACGTACAGCGCACCAGGTCAGTCCAAGACCCAAAGGCCGGATCATACAGCTCCACAGGTGCTTCCAGGCCATATCTTAGCTATCCTTGAGTTATAGCAAGTCCTCAATGTTCTCTGTAATGCCATGACCAGAAAAGCACTGAACTGTGCATCTAGAACAGTGGCTCTCAACTTTTTAAAACTCCAGGCACCCCTCAGAAAATGCCAGCTACTAGCTTTCACTAGTTTCATTATTACAGAAACATAGACCAACTCTTCTGTTGCAAGGACCTCAGAAAGACCACAACAGGTAAGAATGTTTTTGAAACTATGTATTCCAGCTTGAAATCTCTTGGTTTATCTTCTGAATCATGTACGTGTTTGCACATCTACACAGTGTGTAGCAAGCCTGGAGCTATGTCCCTCTTGGAGTCTGATGTTCCTCACAGTCAGATCTGTCTTCTGCGCTCCCCAGCCTCCATAACACCCTCCCTTTTTCCACCTGCCATGCCTTCGATATGAAATATTCTGATGACTTTTGGGAGACTTCCTCCAGAGGCCAGAATATCCTTTTTAGGGGCTTCCACTCTTGGCACTGTCTCTCCGGGCCTTGCTACCTTCAGCACCATCTCTCTAGGGCTTATGGGCCCTCCACATAGCTTTCTTTGCTCTCCAGCCTTCTGTCTTCATCTCTGAGCCTCTGGCCTCCAACCACAGTCTCTGGGCTTCTGGTACCTGCCTGTCTTCATCTCAGGACCTCTGGCAGCCCACTTTCACTGCCTTGGGGCTTCTAATTGTGGCCTCCAGTGTCTCCCATAACCACACTCATGCCTCATGGACTTAATCAGCAGCATAAACAGAATGTGAATATTTAATTACTTATTGACCAAGCAGTCCCTTGCAGAATCTCTTTTAAACTGGATCTTCAGGGCTTTCTTCCCTTCAGATCATGAGAGCCCCTGCTCTCCAAGTTCTGTGCAGCTTCTTCTCCCCAGAGTATGCAGAATCCTACTCCAACCCAAGCAGGATCCAGACTGCAGCTCCTACTCCTGGGCGTGGCTTATATGCATCTCTGCTCCTCCCCTTCTTGCTCATGTGACTTGGAGCTCCTTTAAGAGGGAACAGTAGGTTCCTATTGTCCCAACTGGTTCAATTATCAGGCTACCCTGACTACCCTCTGCTGCAGTCCTGCTTCCCTCAATCAACTGCCTATGGCCATGCTTCAGCAGCCTGCTATTCACATTCTATAGGCTTCAGCTCTTTTATCCCCACTGTTTGGTGCCACACTCTCTAGCAAGCTTCAGGCAGTACCCCTCATGGCACTAAGGGGCCTGGCAGCCACTCCCCCTAGTGCTTTGGGCCTGGCAGTGGCCCCTCTGTATTCCAAAGCCTAGTTTATATTCACAACGTGGGGGCTCTCAAAGATACTGTGACCCTCTGGCCTTCCTCTTCTCAGTAATGGGTAGGGGCCCTGTTACACAGTGCCATTATTGTGCAGCACTCTGAAACACCCTTAAAAGGATCTATAGATGCTATGGCTTAGCATACTATGGACCCCTGACTGAGAATCATGGATCTAGAATAACAACCATGCTGGGTGCTCAGACCATGCAAAAAACAAAAAACTCAGCTCCAGTGGAGAACTGATGCTATGGCACCAGTTAGCTATTCTAAATTAAATAGATCACGGAAAAGGTGAGTTTTAAGGAAAAAAGTGAGAACTCTGTAAACTTTGAGGCGGCATGAGTTGAAGGGAGACAGGGTATTACAAATGTGAAAAGTGAGTAAATGAGCAGTAATGAATAATGTTCATAAGCAAAGAGAAATAATAGGATTGAAAAATACAGTGCTGTGTTCTGCTTTTGACCTCATCTCAAAAAGAAAGAGAGGATCAGAGACAGGCAAAAAAGCAATTAATAAGGCATGGGAAGACTGAAAATGTTTGGAGTGTTTAATTTAGAAAAAAATGAGGGAGAGGGAGCATGATGGAGGACAGCAGGAGAAAAGAGAAGTCAAACAGACTTCTTGGTCCTTTCATTCAGAAACAAATTTTAAAATGATAAATTAAATAAATCATTTCTACAATGCCTACATAAACAGGGAAAATCCCTGTGAAATCAAGATATTCAGCAAAGTGTTTGGCAAGATTCTAAAAAAGATTAACTTGCAGATGCATTTTGCAAACATGTTCAATTACGTTAGTAAGAAATGTTGTAAGTGTTGCATGTCCTTCTGCTTCAGGGTAGAACAGCCACCTTCACTCGTCCATACACACACAATGAAACCTGCATTGTGACCATGAGATCCCACAAATAAAGCGCTAACCACAGCAGTCTGCACTTTTATCTGAAGTCATTGACACTGGCCACTGTCAAAAGTAAAATATTTTGGCCCTCCTTAACACTTATAATAGTATTCTGCAAGCACAGTCAGTAAACAAGTGCTTTATGAAAGCATAGACCAAAATGAAGAAATACTTTTCTTCTAAGAAACTAGATTTGGTTTTCAGAAATTGTGGTTTTCATATCAGTCTTCACTGGAATGAAACAACCTTTCCTGGGACAACCTCTGCTCGTAGCTTTACTGGTGCCATTCCACTCCTTCACCAAATCAGTGTCAAGCTGTAGCAGCACACTATACAGCCACCCCCACTCTCCCACCCCCAGTTCCTTCTGGTAGCCAAATTGGGTAGTCACATTTCAAAACACAGAAAGCGACAGGACACACAGGGCATGTCCAGATGAGTGGGAACATGTGTTTCCCCGGGGACAAGTAGCAGTGGCACACTACTTGTCACATGCCTGTGTCACATGCTCTCTGGCTTACAGCGGGTTACCCCAGGTGGGGTAGGGGAGGCTGGAACCATCAACTGTGCTGGCTCCCCCCTTACCTGGGGTCCTGGAGGCCTCCAGGAGCTGCAGCCGCAGTGGTCCTGCAGCAGGAAGCCTGGCTGGCAGCTGGAGTGTGGCTCCAGTCAGCTGGGCTCCAGTTTTGGGTGGCATGCACTGGCACCGTGTACACCACCTCACATTTTTTTGGCATGGGTTTTTTTTTTGACCACGGGAGATCCCAGGGTCAACCCCTCCCCCTCCCCCATGCTGCAAAATAGCAGTGCAGCGGGATGCCTGCATGTGCAATATGTGCCACCGCAGATGAGTTTACAGCACCGAATACCGCATGTCCATGCTTGTCTGGACATGCCTGTAGAGGTAACAGACAGGTTTAGGGAAAGGCAGGAGTTCCCATATGGAGAAGTATTAAATCAGCAGAAAATGCTGAGTGGCAAGAAGGCAATCCTGCCTGTTCATTTTAGCCCTTTTTGTTGCACAAGTATAGTTTCTGAGTAAAACCTTGAGAACACTGGACATTGTCAATTAACCTGTATATGTAAACACACACAATTACATCAGACAGTAAGGAACGTTACAAGACTTGCAAGTCCTTCTATTTTGAGACAAAACAACACTCCCCCCTCTCTCCACACCCCTCCACACAGTGAAACCACTGTGACCATATAATCCAACAAGTGCTAACTTCAGCCCTATTTGCACCCTCATCAGAAGTCACTGCTACCAGCCATTGGCAGCAGCAAAGATTTTGGTCCTCTTTATTATACTAGTACTTTTCAAGCAGATTCAGTAAACAGAAGTTTTGTGAAAGCATAAACCAAAATGAAGAAATACCTATTTCACTTATGCTGCACAATGCTACCTGCATACTGAATAAGTGTCCTGCAGCAGTAACAGTACCATATTTACTCAAATATAAGATGACTGATTATATGACAACCCCTCCCACCCTCCACCAATAATTAGATTGTACACATGGAACACTTACCAATTTAATATAATTTTCCACGTAGAGAATTTAATTATTGGAGGTTTGTCTTGAATTTATCCTCCTCCCACTGCTTCAACAGGGAAGATAAATCTGCCGGGGGGGAGGCAGATAACCCCCTTACCCTCTATAATTTAGTGGTTCTCAGCCCAGGATACTGAAAGAACCTGCTATGGATACCCACCCCTCCTTGTCTCAGCCCCCAGCACTCCCAACATGCTGCATGTGCACCCCAGCACCTTGTTCCTGCAGGCTGGGCATCCTGGACTGTATGCCTTATAACCCAAGATATCAATATTAACAGCATGTTAATTAATACTAGATTATAATGCTCATATTACAGTATTCATCAGTTATTTATATTAGCTTTTTAATGGGCGCCATTCAATTCTGAAAAGTTTTGGAGGGGTGCCTTAAGTCTAAAAAGGTTGAGAACAACTGCTGTCACCAGGCTTAAATGACAAACATATCGTGAGCAAGATGAAGATCCTGGGCTGAAATGAAGAGCTGTTATTCCAAAGTATTTTAATTATTATCTTTTTCAATTAGCATTAACACTATTAGATGATTTTTATTAAAATAGTCATAATAGAAGAGATTTTGTTCCTTAAATTACCTTGTTGAATAATATTGGTCATAATGGAGAGGTATTCCTCAGGATCTTGATCAGTAGAGATCTCCCAGGTACTTTTGTCTAACGTCAGTATTTCATAGAGAATGTCTGAATTGTACACCCCACAAAGCAGAATCACAACCTTATCTGGTGGTTCAAGAACCTGGTCTAGGAAATGCCTTTTTGTCTGATTGAGACATTTTAGAAGTCCATTGGATAATATCAGCAGTTTGCATTTATAACAGGATAAACAGCACAATTCAATATGTTCCAGAGATGAAACTTCTAAGTTGTAAAGTAAGATTCCTTCTTCCTTTACTATGTGTTTGAAAAGAGATTTTAAATACAGAGCCCATTCTTCTGCCTCTTCTTCATAAATCACGAGAATGTCCTTTGCATTTTCTGTAGGAAAGAAAATATTTTTTAGCATTATTCTTCAATATCAGCAGCAGGTACATCAGACATACTAACATGCTAGATGTAAGAATCATGCCCTTCTTTTCATTATAATTGGAGGGTTTTTCAGGAAAAAGGCCAAATAGTTATCCCTGAACAACAATATTTTCTGTTCCTTAGGTACAGCAATACTGTTAACAAGGGTGCTTATCTGGAGGTCATTTCATAAAAGGTATCAAACACCTCACTAAACAGTCCTTTCTTATAGTCTCTAATAACATATGATATT